CGCTCGAACTCTTCCGACTTGCTGGACTCCAAGAATTGCGTCTAAATTCTAACCAATTGACATCTATCCCTCCACATGTTGGTTTACTGACTTCTCTGCAAAGACTCGATATTCGTTCAAATAAACTAACCAGCATACCTCAACAGATTGGATTATGTATAAAATGCAATGTATTGGATTTGAGGAATAATAGACTAAAAGTGCTGCCAGCTGAACTTCAAAATCTAACCAAGTTACGGGAGCTGATGGTTGATGGAAATCCTCTTGATCGCGTTGCAGGCATCGACGATAGACAAAGGGAGAATAGCAATGATGCAGATCATGCGGAAAGACATAGCACAAACGACTTGTACGCAAGCGAAGACAATGATGCAGCCATCAAGGCGTACAATAACAGTACAAAGGTCATCTCACTTGCTGACATTTGTGCACAAATTGTGGGATCTGTCCTTCATAACGAAGGGCTTCACGCATACTGTAAATCTTGTCGTCATCAGAGTGATTGTGAAGCAGATGAGAATTGCCTCATGACTGGACTTCCACATCGCATACTAGAACGACTAACATTACCAGCTGACCATCCGCCTAAAAGATGTTCTGGATGCGTATCACCACTATTTCATGATGCTCTCAACTATCTGACCCGTGTAAACTTTTGTAATCGTTCGATTCCAACTGAATATAAATTTTGTTCACGTGGATGCATGCAAAAAACGTTAAGGAAAACTGAAGAAGCATCTATTCGGTAATGTGATTGTCGGCGATTATGGTTTGTATCGTATTAATGAAAGATGTTCGAATAAATTTAATTCTATATCGTTTGCTAGCTAACGATTTTACACAATCTGCTCTAACTCACGAGCGTAATAAAGTGCGTGTTTGATAATACCCGTCGAAGGTATTTCAACCATATTATCATCCTTTGTTGCAAAATAGATTTTCCCATCCGTTTCCACTTGCCAACCACGCTAAAATAGATGAATAATTAGCGAATGCTTCGTGCATCGAGATGACCGAAAGGACTGGTGTCTTTAATAGTAATAACAAATAGTATACACATTCTTACCTCCATCGCGAATGTGATAACATCTTGGCGATTGTCAAAAAATAACAGTGTGGCTGCATCGCTTAATGGTAAACATGTGTATGCTTTCTCGCTGCAACTCGCGATTTCATTCCTAAATTTAAACAAACATGTTAGCGCGCACATATATGTATCTGCGTTGTATGTATGCATACATGCTTTAATACAATGCGCTTTCATTGTATCTATTTCTAATGAGTTACCTGATTGTTTCCATTAAAATATCAATGAAAAAGGCGTATTGTGGAGCCGGTATTTCTGCTCGTGAATTCCATACTTTGTTATAACTTCCTTCCATAAGGTACTGTTCCAAATGCACAGGATGTTTGACATAATCATTGTCCAATAGCTGCTCAGGTTCGATGTTCTCCAAAGCAGTATGGAATTCAGCAATGCGGTTTTGTGATAGAAGACGGAGGAGATTCAAACCAATGAGCGGATACATTTGTTGCGATTGTGGCAATAATGATCCGTAATCGGTATAATACGTATGAAGTTGGGCTATGTATCGTTCAAAGGAAGGTATATCCTTTGTCGCTACACTCCACAATGCTCCAATTTCGAGGATGTTCCCTAATGGCGGTAAAGCGAGATTTGAATTAATTCATTATAAATCAAAGTTTACGCCATTACTTCTATTCTGACAATCGATACATACTACCAATTAAAAGTGCTTCCGCATTGTTTATTTCACCTTCTGGAAGTAGGAAGGAAATTTTTGACAACATAACCTGTTGCAATTACAAAGTATTAATAAATCAAACTTGCCGAGATATTTCCAATATTATGTTAACAACCAACCTTTAACGTCGCCAAGTACTGACCACATCTATTGAGATCTGGATTACTTGAATAAAACTCATTATAAAGTTCGTTATAAAGCCGGGAAGTCTGTTGGAGCGTCGCGGACATATCGTATTTAGAGTACTTTGCACCAAAAAGTCTCTAATGCTAATATAATGTCATTAAAATTCGTAACCTATTACGTCATATATAATTCTCGGATCGCTTGTCGATCGCTTGCTTTCTTTGGTTATCTACATCTCTTGTACCACACATCAATTAACACTTGCACACATCTTCTTTCGTTCACGATTAAGATGGAAGTACGCGTTCTGGGTAAATTCGTCCCTTTTGGGAAGACATTTCTCGAGAGACGCGCAGCAAGACGTAAGGATTTTGGAAACCCTGAAGACTCACAGGAATATCAATTTGATATTGATCAACCTTCTGAACCGAGATCAGAGGCTTTTCCTCTCTGGGATTTCAATGGCTCTTCTATAACGCAAAAAATTACACCAACTTATAAATTATATAATGGGACATCCGATGACATTGAAGACGACGTTTCTCAAAGGAAAAAGGATTCTTGTCAAGAAATTACCGATAGTGACTTTGATGAGGAGCTTTATGTTAAGGATAAAACGGTGATATGGAGCAAAGGAAATGTGATTAAAAAAAGTTTCACGTTTCAACAACCTGTTAAGCAAGCATTATTTGTTTGGTTCAATGTCGAAGAGGTAATAAAACAGTCAAAGGATGCGAATGTCGCTTTTACGAACGATAGAGGCACTAGCGGACTATTTGAAGAAATGTCAACGATAAGAGTGACCAGACAACGGTGTGTGTGCATTATGCTTCAGACATTTGCCAAAATCTATTATCCGGGTGGTAAGACACAAATGCTGAGAATGCCGTTTCCCGTTCGTGAAGCAGTTGCTCTCAAGACCGGTTTATTGTTGAGCTGTATGCAAGAGGAAGAAAGTGGTGAAAACCCGACAGCTGATCTGCCAACATTGTATAGCCTTCTTGACCCTTTGGATGAAATAAGGCCAGTATCTGTAGCACCAAAACTCTCTTACTTTGATAATCACATCGTCATAGCTCAACCAACGCGTCCATTTGTGGCCAGTGACGAAGATGTTATATTCGTAAATCCTGTTGACGATAGTGGTTCATTTATAGTATTGCGTAATCGTGTGAATGGCCTATTTTCCGTCTGTAGATATGCTATTAGGAAGGAAGATAGTCGAATTACTTTCGAACAAATCGAAAGTAGAAGTCGACGTAGTTCCTATGGGCTAGTACGTCAAGATTCGACCATGAGTGTAGACAGGTTTTTGTATCCTGACACTGAAGGGTCTTCTCTTGCGGATAAAATGACTTCGATGGAGGCATCTCCGGAGATTTATTTGGAATACATCGAAACCGATATACAGCAAGAAGCATTCGCTTCGCAGGAAGAGGGAAATAATGCTGAATTTCTCGCGGACTCATCAACGTATGTTTGATTCATATTATACAATAGTCTTTTGTTGTGTGCTTTAGATTCAAAAAGGTTTTCAACACGCATTTATTTATTAGTGAAGAACTGGGTGACGATAGCACAGCTTTCATTGCTCATGATAATGAAGGGCAGGAAATCCTATGCATACATACTAAATCTTCAAAATGCGTAACATTGATATCCATGGAACCCTGGGATGGAAGCATCAGAATATCAAAACAATTGAATGCGAAGGCTATTGCTGCCGTGCCAATTATGGCAACACGTATGGGCTATTATGATATTCTGATACTTGATCTCGATCGCCGGTTGCATTTATGGACAGGAAACGAAGGGAGCTTGCGCGTCATGATGCCAATATTGGTTTCGCATCAAAATCTTTCGCCATCGAAACAGTGCCTATGCTATCAATCAGAAGCGTTGTACGAATCAATGACGAAGCAGGCTACGTATAGAGAGTCTGTTGTTACTAGTCTCAGAGATAGCGTAAACTATCGAGTGAATTTGATTCTTGATAATCAAGATATCATTCGTGCCAGTCTTAATTTTGTCACGCGATCAACTCTAGTAAGAAGATGCATTAATGCTCTCAGTTTCGCGCTATCGGCGAAAGATTTCGGCGAATTTTATCAAAGATATCTTTACTATCAATTTGGATGTAAGATTGTTTGTGCACCACAGTCATCTGAGTGGGATAATTTTCTCGCTGTAATCTTATCGTTAATTGAATGGCAGTTTGAAAATGTACAGGATGAGAACAGGAGACTCTCCTTGCATCCTGAATGGCAAGCTCATCATTTTGATAAAAGCGATCCATGGAAGGCCATGCTTGCCGTTCACCATTACAGTAAGATAAAACTAGACACAGTGTTTCAATGCTTAAATATAGAACAGAATACTACGTTAAATAGTCTAAAAGATGCTTTTTATCGTGCCGGAAGGAAAGCGGATAGACTTCGTACATTTTTCAATAACACTACTCTTATCAATGGATCAGACTGGTTCAGGACATCATTGAAGAAGGGCGACGGCCACGATGGATACTTGAGCTATAAATCTTGTGAGGCGATATTGTGTGCACTACATCTTGTTCTTGAAGATTTGAGACTTGACGTTGATTCTCATAAATACATGGATGATTTATTATCACTATTACTGAACCTCGCTGTTTTTGTATCTTGGGAACCGTATAAAAGATATTATGAGAAACAGAATGCAAATATAGTCGCTCTCGAGAGTTGTCCAGGTTGGTAGGTATTTCCAGTGAAGAAATCTCATGGGCATTGGCGGGATTCTTAACAAATTACTAAAAAAAATATCGATATACTCTTGTTTGCGTAAAACAGTGCGGAAGCATTTTGAGCAATTACCAGGAGATACGGTCTTTGCTACACCACCCGATATTTATAAATGGATACTGACAAGAATGCGCACTGAGGGATCAGTTGTTTTATTTCCAACGATGGAATTGATCGAAAGTGAATTTTCTGTGAAGCAAAAAAGAAACGTTAGAGACTCTATAATCTGTGTGAGAACTAAAAAGTTATGCGCATTTTTCAACAAACTCTTTAGTGAAGGAGCGGAGGCCATGGTACTTGAGATGGCGACGTTGAATTTCAAAATGAAAGATGTCGACGGGCTACCGTTTGGCATTGGGCTTCCGCTGAAGGAGGCTATTAGAGCATGTCGTAAACATCCGCCTGATAATTGGCCAGGAGATGCTTATGTGCTAATAGGCATGTCGTCAGTTGAATTGTTTGATGAAGAGTTTGAAATTTGTCGTGTTAACTGAAGATTGAATTTGATGGTTCATAGGTCGAGAAGATCTTGCTGAGCTGACATTTGGAATACCGGTCACGTCGTTGTACTTCCATTCGAGGCGTGGTCTCAACTTGGTAAACACGCTTGTATTTTTAAGTTATGTTCGTCGGAAATGCTTACTATTCTATCATTTATCAGGATAAGCCACCAATGGATACTCATACAATTGCTCGGTCAGCTGTTACACGAGAATCGACCACCACCAGCAACAACAATGCCGGCGATAATAAGGAAACGACTGGTACCGAGTTTTCTAATCATGAAATAACAGACTTACGCTTTGATAGGGATCGTCGATTAACGGAAGTTCAAAGACTCTTGCAATCATCAAATACCATAAAAGTTGATGGTCAACCAGGAGATCAGGGGTCAGTATAGGAGAAATTAATTGCTTTCTTAGCATCTTACTGATAAATCATTATACTTTATACATAGTTCTGCCGATGTGGAAATTTCAGCTCAGCAGATAGAGTTCGTACAAGCGCAAGCGTATAAAAACTTTGCACACCCTGTTGGCCGCGCTATTCTAACGTACGGAACATCAACTCCCATCGCAACAGAAAGCTTTCCAATCACACATCTTCCGACGACTATGAAAATAATTCCTAACAACACGGTCATAGCATTGGATAAGATCCTTCGTCTATCAGATATTAGTGATTGGCCCGAATTTCACCAAGGAGCTGCAGCAGGAATGCGTATTTCTCCTGATAGTGAAGAAGTAGACGGTTCATGGATCACCCTCAATAAACCCGCAGAGCTGAATTATACACATGCTGGATTTCTATTGGGATTAGGTCTGAACGGACATCTGAGAGAATTAGGAACTTGGCGAGCCGTGGATTATTTGATGAAAACTCCCAAGCATGATGCGACTTCTATTGCATTGGTAATCGGACTTGCAGCATCATTTTGCGGGAGCATGGATACGCAAGTTACAAAACTTATTGCTGTACATATACCTGCACTGTTACCACCAAATTCTTCTTCACTTAATGTATCTTCTTTAACCCAAACGGCTGCGGTGTTTGGTATTGGTCTGCTCTATATGGGTACATGTAACCGTCGTATGGCACAGGTCATGCTTAGTGAAATTGCAGCAAAAAATTGGACAACGGCCATGAGTACAGACCTTGATTACAGCGAAGGTTATTCTCTTGCAGCCGGTCTATCTTTGGGTCTTATAACTCTAGGAAAGGGAGATGACGCACCTGGATTGGCCGATTTAAACATAATGTCTCAACTGCGTTTATATATGATTGGAAACACTCAGGCATCAGAGCACGTATCTAGCGCTATGAAAAACAACGCAGATATCAACATTAACGTGACGTCATTGGGTTCTACAATAGCGCTCGGATTAATGTATTTAAAAACTAATAATGCCAGTATCGCAAAAAGAATCCCAATCCCAGAGACGGCTTTCTTCCTGGATTATGTACGCCCCGACTTCCTTTTAGCAAGGATTCTAGCTAGACATCTGATAATGTGGGATAATATTGAACCGACTTTGGAATGGGTGGAGAGTGATGTCCCAAGTTTTATTAAAGATGGGCTGAGAAATCCGCAGAATGAAATCGAAGATAGCAAAATAGAATCTTTTAAACAAGCATATTATAGCGTGATTGCAGGATCGTGCTTTAGTCTTGCGCTAAAGTACGCAGGCTCTGCGGATGAAGATGTTTTACAAGTGATTTTGCATCATCTCGATCGCTTCTTGAACCTTGTACATGCAAGAGGTATGTTGACACAATTTCAATGAATAATTTCGTTATGGTCAGTATACATCCATATATCACTCTGAATAACTATAACATCTTCTTATAGCAACTTTGTTCGATCAACAGATAACACGAATGAATATAAAGACATGTCTGAACGTCCTTGTAACCTGTGCAGGAATTGTAATGGCAGGTACGGGCAATCTGGAAGTACTCCGCCGTTTACGCAAGCTTCATCGACCCGACATATCCCATGTTGCCTCACGGTCCTATGGTGCTCACATGGCGACTGGTATGGCATTGGGGTTTCTATTTCTTGGTGGTGGTACATATACGCTTGGAACATCTGACAAGGCAGTCGCAGCACTCTTGTGTTCGTTATTCTTCCGATGGCCAGCTGATCCTATAGACAATCGCTCGCATCTGCAAGCATTCAGACATTTGTGGGTACTTGCAATAGAGCCTAGGTGTCTTATTGTACGCGACGTGGAGACACGCGAGGCGTGTCACGTACCAGTTACAGTAGTCTCAGTACGCCAAGATAAAGCAAGAGTTTCGTCTATGGTAGCACCGTGTTTGTTACCAGAGTCTAAGTTTGTCGTTACAATTGAGATAGACAGTCCCAGGTATTGGTCTATATGGTTAAACTTGAGCAAGAACAAAGACCTACGGGAAAGGTTCTGGAAGGACCCAACTATTTATGTCAAAAGGAAGACTGGACATCTAAGCTATTCTGAGGTAAGATTCAAAGAAATAGATGCGTAAACGTCCTACGACCTACCATTGAACATCAAACACGGCTTCCATTCTTACCCGATAGGATCCTCAAGATAATTGGAACTTATTATCCCGTCTCTTCCCAAGACAAACTTTGGCGGCGAAACCATCAAAAAGGCCAGGACTGACTAAAATGGAACTGGTCAAAGTATTTTCCGCCGATCCCCAGGTATTAGCATTCGCCAGCCATCTTTGTGATGACGAAACAGATCGTGATCTGGCAGCTTTTTGCACTGGAGTATTACGGGAATGTCTCAGCGCCGACAAACCAGAAGCCATTCATATCTATCTTGCCTTATATCAAAATCTCCATAATCCCAAAATGGATATAATAACTATGTGGAACATTAAATTAATCCTCGTCTATTATGAAACTGTAATGAAAGAAGGTTCTAATAAGAATGGTGACGATGCGTTGATCCAGGTGGCGTTTATTCATTCTGTGAGACAGCAAATGGATAAATTCTTTTCTACCGACAAGGGAAAAGAACAATCATCGTCCGGAGCGTATGCAGTATATAATGAGCTGCTTGACCATGATGTACTTAAAGCTGTGTGGTTAGAAATACAAGAAGAGTTGTGGGAACATAGACGACCTGATGAATTCAGTCATGATCAGATACAGTGGTTATACGAGATGAGCCTCTCAATAAGGTTTCCTGAACTATCGTTAAAGACTGTCAAGAATATAGTTAGCAAAAGGTTGTCGGAGACTTTTGAGTAGGCACTGTACATAAATCCTATTACCTAAAATGCACACCTTTGAGATTGAGTGTGCATTTAGGAATGATGCCACTTAAATATGGAAAATCGTTCAGTAGGAGCGCGAACCACCAGTCCTTCGAATACGCCGGTAGCAAATACGTTTAATTAAATAATAAACGCGTTTAGTAAGACCCAACCTGCTTCCGAATTGATCCCTGTAAGTGGGTAGACATTATTATAACTCGTGATTAGCGTCTACAGCACCATATCTAACGTCAAATTCCCATGTTTCCTTAATGTAGTAGGCCCTTCCTAATTTATGTTACATAAATGTCTTTGCTATATCAATTATGAAGTCTTAAATTTCACATTCTTTTGCGAAGCAATGCGTCTTGGTGGTCCTCGAAATTTCTCTTCTGTAGAATAGAATCATATTAAGCATTACTATTACTAACTGCAAAAAAATTTTGCAACGTTCTTATTCACTTTTGTTTAGACCAAGTTCAGATATCTTACATGGCTATTGAAAACAAACCCTATTTATTCTATAATAGAATCCAAATACTACAAGTAACATGTTGATAGGTTTTTCATTCCAAAGGCAGCGTTCTGAAGACAATTATACACATATACATCTATTACTAGCAATATATCTTGTACTGTTACAGAGATATTGTTTGACACAGTCTTCTCCTTATGCCATTATTACTCCCACATCTGCTGCATAAGTACAATAATCATGATCTGAACACCCTAAGTAATTTCACGATAGTCTCCCGACATATTGGACACTCATTTCTGGATTCTTGTAATTTCTTGCCACAGTCCATACAAGTGCTCATATGACCTACAAAATATAAACACACATGTAAACAATATGCTCTCCGAATACAATACATGAATCTTATACATACCACAGTCTAATATTACACAATTTTGTGGTGCATCACAGCATATTTTGCAAAGGGAATCGTCGCTCAATTTATCAACATCGGTAGCCATCTCTTTCTTGGCATTCTCAATTAACCTCTCAACTTTCTGAATCAATTCTGATTTCTCGACTAGTCCGGTATAGTCTACACCATTATCCTTAAGAATGTCCTTGAGTGCTTTTGGAGACAGTTTCTGGACCTCTATTTTGTTCTTTATTATCGTGTAAATGCTTGGTGGTCCATCATCTGTCCTCTTATGTGGTGTTTGTCTATTAGACGGTGTTTGTCTATTAGACTGTGTAGGTCTCGTTTGCTGAGTACGATTTGCTGCAAATGCAGCTGATGGGTGAGATGAAGCTTGGGTGGTAGTGCGTGTTGTAGATTGTGTACGAACCGTACGTGAACGCCCATATTCTTGCGACCGACGTGTGTTAGACGAAGGAATATAATCTTCTGTACGCGGAGCGTTGCTATCATTCGTCATAGGTGTTGAATAAAATGTACTATAAGTTGTCGTACTACTCGATCGACTAGTAGAGGGGAAAAATAAGGGAACATCAAAAGTACTAAACGGAAAAGCAGAATGACCGGGCGATGGACTAGAGTCTCTTGAAGAGGAAGAAGAGGAAGAAGATTGAGAACTGGATAATTGTCCAAAGAAATCAAATACGTTCTCGAACATTGGAGGTAATACAAATGATGGAGCAGATGACTGCGACTGAGACGGAGGCTGGCGTTGTTGGTTATGAGAATAGTTAGATGGTCGACGTGGCGGATACGCTGCTCTGGCTCCAGCAGAAGCAGTACGTCTTGCGCTTGATCCATTAGGACCGGAAGTAGGTGAATTTGCTCTCCTAGATTGAGTACGTCTACCTCGACTGCTGGATTGTTGAGCCCTAGACCAACTGTTGTTCTCAGAATGTTCCTCAGCTGATGAAGCAGAATCCGCTGATGTGGCTGGCTCTGCAATTGGAATATGTTCTCTATAATATATCTCTTGTTGATCTCCTAACGGTCGTTGCGATATTATTACTGCAACCAGATCATCCTTTTCTATAATATTGTTCGTGGGAAGATTGAACGCTTTAATGTAATCACGTAAAGTTTTACTCGGCAAGGTAGCAAGTTGACTGCGCGCCAACTTTGAAACTAAATATAAATAACATGATGTGAGAAGAAATAATCAAAATATAACAACGATGCCATATTGTTAACTTACTGTTGAGATAATGAAAGCACAAGTCGCACACCCTCACAGGACTATACAAATTCGGGTCCACCGTCAGTTCACTATATATTTCCACCTCCCCCACCAAACACAAGGAAGCACTCGATGTAAGTATTGCTCCAAGTGTTAGCTACGAATACTCACCTAAAATAACCAAACTTTGCCAATTCTACTCTATTTTCTGAACACCGACCACAACATACATAACCTAAATGAAACGTTGGTTAGCGCTATGGACACGACTGGAACGAAACGTAAACAATAAACATACCACAGTTACGACAATGATATTTGGTTCGTAGGAAACCAAACTTCCTACCGCATCGAGTGCAATGTCTAGCTTCGGTGAGGGAGTTGAGTTTTGGGATAGAGTGTGCAAGTGGAGCGTGGAAGGTTGTTCCCGGTCCGGGGTATTCGTCAAAAATGTTAGTGTCCATAGATAGCTCTCAAAGTCAAAACGCAAATACAAAGGTAGGAATAAGAAGGCCAAGCCCAAATAACAAATCGCACGTCACACGAAATTTGATTGATCAACAACATTAAACGCGATATTAATATGCTTTGACATTCTATATTAATATATATTTATCATTTTCTAACGCTTCTGGGACCTACTATTCCTCCATTACCATTCGTTCCCTGTTAATTCACTATGGTCGAATCAACTGTATCTTCAGCACGACAGCGTTTAGAACCATATTTACTCCTCGCCAAGTCAGCAAAAGGCGCTGCAGCAGTGCAACTTATCAAAGAAGTACTGGCCAAGCCCGGAGTGTATGTGTTTGCAGAACTCCTAAAGACTGATAATATTAAAGAGGTACGACCATTGCTGACCCACTTGAATGTAAACATTCGACATTTGTTTGGACTCGAGTTAGAACTTTAGTGAAACGTGGAGAGTTGGAGACTATAGTCGGTCGTACGTAGATAAGAATGTAATGATGAAGGATTAAAAGTGATTATACGGAATAACAGTTGCTAACTCGAGAAAGATAAACGGTGGATAACTTTTGTTCGTATATAATTTCTAATTTATCGGCTTTCACAACTCTGTTAGCTCGATAACGATGAAAAGTACAAGCAGTATTACACTCTTCTTCGGTTGTTCTCATATGGAACATATAAAGATTATAAAGGTATGCTTTGTGACTGCTACAAATAATTTTTGTATTTTGTTTGTTCTGTTTGAATATTGTTGGTAATTTGGCTGATTTCAAAAGATTTCTTGAAGAAAACAGAGATTCACTTCCCCAACTGGATAATGCTCAACTAAATAAGCTTAAACATCTCTCCGTTGTATCTTTGTCCGAAACTACTCGAGTGAGTATACATTTTTCAATCCGATAATCGTACTTTTATTTTGTTCTAATTCGTATTAATTTATTGTATTGTATGGTATGCATGTCTTCGACGCAGACTATTCCATATTCTCTGTTGTTAGAATATTTGGATGTCCCGAACGTACGTGAGCTTGAGGATTTAATTATCGAAGCTATTTACCAAGGAGTAGTCAAAGGCAAATTAGATCAGAAGAAGAAGCAACTCGGGGTGGAGTATACAATGGGAAGAGACCTCAGGCCTGGTCAAATTGATCAGATGTTGAAAGTGCTCGCTGACTGGTGCGTAAAAATTACTTGATCGTTTTCCGAGCAATTAAGGGAAACACTAGTAACATTATCGTCTTCGAATATCCTGCCGATCTCCGTTTTCCGCCAACAGGTCCGCAACATCCGAAGAAATGCTAAAAGCTATTGATGCCAAAATTGTAGAAATCCGAGATGCACAAACAGCCAATAAACTTGAAAGAGAAGAATATGAAAGAGAAGTCGAACGCTCTCGTAAGGAAGTTCTTAAAAATCCCAAGAACAGTGATCGTGGTCTATCCGATATGGACATAATGACCGGTGTCGCTATGCAGCTGGAACAGTCGAGTTCTATCGACATTGACGAAAACCCACGACGTGGCAAAAGGTGAGTTTCTATTTTGTTCTGCTTTGAGAGGTTCATAATCATGGGTAAAGGTGGGTGGTAATAGGCACTTTGTTAAGATATGAAATATTATAAACCGTGCGACAGGAAACGCAGTCTACGACGTCATTGAAAACAATGAACGTTTGCTTTTTCTTTTTATAATCAATATCAGGGGACCGAAACGATTCTTAGGGAGAAATAAATGACGTCGAAAATATAATATTGGCCATTTGCATTGATTGCCATGTGTTAGGAAAGCGAGTGGACTGACTGTTCACATGCATTGACTCATTTGAATGAGTTTGGCCGAGTTTGAATACAACGCCTACTATTTATAGCATATTATTCCCATCGTTTTAACAAACGTTTGGCGAAGAATAGAACAAGCCGCTCTTGTTTTGAAATAAATAGATTGGAAGTGAAACCATGACGTTTGATACCTGTTTTGATTCAAGTAATTGTTACACGCTGAGTGTACATTTTACCGGGTCCTTTGATTGCAAAGTTGGCAAATGGCACCAATCTATGTGAAGATCAGACGAGAAGACAACATTTTACGACCTGGTAACGCGCTGCACACAAAGTCAAAGTCAATATTGGACACCGTCTGCACAGCTATGGGATTTCAGTAAGCTTTGCGAGTTATTATAAAGGGTCAATGTGATACATACTCTAATTGGTATTACCCATTATATTCGTGACTGTTGTAAAACGACATAAAATATTAATTCTCATAACCAATTACACAATCATCCTCCGGTTTTGCTCCAAGTCGGCGAAAATCAATTGAAAAATTCTCGACAGTTGAAAGTTCGGGGCGTAAAACACAAAATTCCCATAATTTTAACCGGTGAATCACGATAATTATTACATTATTAGAACCTTACAATCACACGACAGTAGTCATCTTAACATGTCATCAGATTAACATGTCGTTTGAGTCATGCGGTCAAAAACTAAATGCTATATGTATACTAAGACTTTTTATATAAACAAAGGTGCTTTGTTATCCCTCAATTCTTATTATCCACAACAATCGAAGGTTCAACAAAATAAAGGCTAACCACGTAATCCTCGAAACGTCGGCCATTGACTGACTGTATCATTATGTCATCTATTGTTACTCTTGCGACACAAGTATAAAGGCATCGGTCAAAATCATTATTTGAAAGTGATTCTTTTCGAATAATAATGCACAAGTGAAATTGATTAGTGACGCGCCGATGAACGTGACTTCAAAAGCGTGTATTCTACAACACAGTTGCACAAACGACGACATAAACAAGTATGATGACTAATGTTAATAATTCCTCCGCATACCTCCCAGTATAGGCGAAACTGGCAGTTCGATTAGATATATAAGAAGCGCGACTTTTCGATCATGTATGCTAGTTGCGAACCACTAATCCCTATATCAATTCAGAACATCCTATGGACGCTCTCGTAGTATTACGATTGTTTTTGCTTGCATTTTAGATATATACAAGTACTGTATTTTCTATGAACCCGTTCTTTATTTGCAGAAAACAATGACAGTTTTACATCTTCATATTAATATGGCTAATATTAACATATAATCTCTATTGACAGTACAGGAACGTGCTAAATCTGTTCTAGACAGTAGTCCCAGATAGAAGTACAATAATTATCCAAGACTAAACTATAAAATGGGAAATGAGCTTGAAAAATAGATAGAGGGATAGGAAAAGATTCTATTCTGAATGCCAATGTTCTAGAAACAAGCTCAGAATGACATTATTTCACATAATTTATGCATAACGGTTGGACTGTTGCGCACAAAGAGCATGGTAAGACGATTGAATTGAATAATAGAACTTATTCTATGATCATTCATCACATAAGCTTTATCTCATGTCAATCTCGCGGATAATATCTCGTGTTAAATTTGATAGACTGGTGGACGTATACACGAATGACCTGTCACATTAAACTCGACCAGACAATCGAATACTGTCACACTGACTGCCAATTAACGATAAAACTTGGCTTTTTTTGTTGATTGGACAAATTACTGATAATATGAGCACAAAATACCGTTTTATTGCCTTTCTCTTTATTCTTCATCCATGAAAAAAAAAACCAACCATCTCTAAACCCAAAAACTATTATTAACCCGTCGCTTCGGACTATAAGTCTAAACAAAAGAAGTAACATATGTAGAAAAAGTCATAGTACGTTAAGATTTAACTTTTATGGGAGCTCTAATGAGTGCATAATAAGAGTTAAGCGATTTTTAAGACTTTATGCATAGATTAATTTGTTTACATATTTGAACAACTTTGGCCTCAAGTTTTCTGATCTTAGATTTGTAATTATCCATATTAATATAGGATAGACAGCTTCCTTTCCACGTCGTAGATTTATGTATTTCTGCCATCTCTGAGAAAGCGTATCGAGATTATTGGTTGCGTTGTATAACGTTGGACATTAGGATGAACATGGGGAGGTAATTCTTCGAAATTGCCGGTCGCAGCATGTTACGAAAGAAGTTGCGATAATTGAAGCTTGAACTACAAAGTCAACGAAAAGACTTTGATAATAACGAACGTAAGAGAGTGATGGATGTTCTTTTCGTAACTTTTTCCGAGTTATGTATGCAATCAAGTAAGACGGAGCACCCCTCTATATATAAGAATTTGAAACCAGTACGTCCCCTACGAAAAGCCTACGTAAATGACAATAATTCTTTGTAAGCGGAAAAAAAGAATGATCCATTCAAACTCCGTTTATTGCAGTCGATGTATGAAATCATCAGTGTAACGAAAATGCCGCCATTCCATCAAACTATGTCACTTGCAATGATCTTTTAATATAAGGAAATAGATAATAATAATAATTTCCAAATTAAAAGTCTTTACTAGTGACGAATACTCCGTTCCTGGATTATTATTCTACCTCGAATTTACGTCCATTTCTTTTGACGGTATTAATTGCAAAGGCTTGTAGACAGGGAAAGTTTACTAAACTATACGCGTTTGTGCCAATAATATAATCCGGATGTTAAAGATTCCCAATACAAGTGTTCGATCTGATCAGGAAAACGTTTGAATAAATTTTATATTTAAACAGGATTATGGAATATTCCAATGCTACCGAAATAAACGAACTATTATCCGAAAAATGTGCTAAATATAGGTCGAAGATGCTATTTGCTAGCAAAACTGCGATAGCTGTGGTACTGGCATTGGCTTTCGATTAGGATGCGGTCTTTTTTTCATGCGACTGCTGCGTCTGACACTAATTGCGCAGCAGTTGCGTTTGTGTCGATGTGTCGCAGCTCCGGACCATTACGGAGAAATATGCCATTTTTGCGCTTCAAACCTGACAACACCAATCATACCTTTTTCACAACAAAACAGTGTCGATAAACGTCGAAATGATCCTCCCCCGAATTGTAATATTTGAAAGCCCAGAATGTCTAACAAATTGTAATACGCCTACCCGCCATACAATCCGATATCGTAGACGCCCAACGCAGCTTTTTGGCAAGCGTTCTTTATATTACTAAAATCATTGTTTGGTTCCGGGTTTGTAAACGTAGAGTGATATTGTTTGCAATTCTGATAAAATCATTACAAGTACAGAAATAGATGACATACGGTTAAACCTACATGTTACGATCCGGCATAACGAGGAATTCGTGATAACGATATAACAAAGTTAGATCCCCAGTCAAGCAATATTCGCTACTATGTTGAAGGAAATGCAACTCCTGTTTCTTTAGCTGCTATTATTATAGCCAATCAGTCACTATTCTAATTTTAAAAGCCTTAGGCATAAAGCGATTAAGCAGCCTATGTGGTCGAACTTTGGTGGGGACCTTATAAGTTTTTCGCTACTAGGCTTTTAAATTCGTGTTCCCCAGATTCCTGTTTGCTCAATCGTAGTAATACACCGATAATAATAGTTTCCTAAAAAGATCGATCCATGTTTTTCCTCTGCTGGACTCAAGTCTCAAGGGCATTTATGATAAAGGTTAGTCGCAGGTCTTGAACATAAATTAATGAAAATGCATACGATCACAAAAGTTCTGATACGAGTGATTGTAACCGGCAGATAACATAGTGGTCACAGCATGTTCCATACTGTCTTATACATTCTCTCAACGATAAGTATACAAGGATGGTGTCAATGATGCGTGAAACAACTGTTCTAAACCCTCTAACATCATTGATAGATTCAAAACCATCGGTAGGCTTAAATATAACTTGCTAGTATTAAAAACTGTGCCTGTTTACAGTTGGGATCAATAGCTTTAACATGTTCCATTGCGTTTGAGCCCCATATTCGCCACGTACTGGCAATTGGGCGTACCAGCATGGAATTCATTCTTGCATCTATTTTGTGCTCTTGACGCGAGGTCATAGTTATCGAGCACCTCTTGTTCGATGCTTTTGCTTTTCTTGCTTGCTAGATATGATGACGATGATAATTTCATTCGCAAGACTTTTGTAAGCATACTTTTATTAGTTTTAGTAAATTATTAACTAATCTGCCAAAATTAATAGTCCTTATACTTTTGCTCACGTGAATATTAATTCAACGCGTTTGGATAAAACAAAAGTTGATTCGCATTATTAACATTAATCCGAATCACTCTCATTATCTCGAAACTTTGCAGTCAAAGGATCTATGATTGTACCCATTTTGGTAATCACACGCGGTTTAATCATCTTATGGTATACTTCTTGAGTGTTCCATTCCTTTCCGATAGGTGCTCGTAAACTGGCCTCGTACTGTTCACGAGTTTCGAACGGATATGGGACTTTTGTGGCTAAATATTTTGTTGCCTAAAGGCGATAATCCAATATATTGTTAGATTAGCGATAAGCATATATATATATCTATATTCGTAGTCAGATAGCAAAATATAATCAGACCTTTTTGACCCGTTTCTCATTTATGATGACATGTTTAAGTTTGGCGTCTTTACGCTTTGAAGCCTGCACGCCCTCGCCTGGAAGTGGTTTTGAGATGATTGGAGGTCTCTTCGATGGTTTTACGCCCTTACCACCCCAAGTTCCCTGGTAAAGACAGTACAAGTCACTTAGTACCAATATATAAACGAATAAATCATAACATGCAATACTCACCCATCCGGGTAAAGTTACATCCTTCCCTTTCGGCTCATCCTCGTCAATAGTAGCTAGTTTATCCGCCTCAAATTCCTACGAATAATAACGGTTCGACCATCATTAAAATGGCGTGTCCTTAGTGAATTACAGTGCACCCTACTACAACACTTACTTTGACAACGTCATCATTTGCAAAGGCACGAGCTACTAATTCCCTTTGGGTAAAGGCAGTTGCACTCTTCGCATGGACAATATGCAAACTCTTAGACATGCCATCGTCGTCTTCCTTTTCATCATCGTTGGATTCGTTTTCATCACTATTGGTTGCGTTTATGTTGCCATTAGCATCTCCTGAAGTTTGAGTATCTTGATTATTCCCTTGCTGTTTTTTTGTCTTTCTTTTCTTCCTTTTCTTCTTTTTCTTTGCAGGCTCTTTAAATGTGGAACGAATCATCAATGAAGCCGTGCTCTTCTTACGGTTAATACTAATCATCAACGCGTTCATAAAAAAACCATACCGTTTTCTTTTGGTGGTTCCATAATTAACACATTGTCCAAGTCAATCTCTACTTCCTCTTCTTTTTCCTCTCGTGATTTTCTTTTTAGTTTAGTCACCATCTTGTCATATTTGTTGGAATCTTTACCGAGGCCTTTGTTTGATTTCTTGCTTAAGGTAGCGACTTTTGACGTGTCTGTCTGTAGCCAAGGGTTAGATTCTTCTTCCATTCCGTCATTATCAGGATTGGAATTTGTCCCAATCGACTCAAAGCCCGTTATTATCCCTGCTACACCTTTTCCTTGAGACTTGTCGATATGGGTGAGTGTGTCCACCTACGAAATAACGAGAATTAACATATTGTACTATGATATAGTATAAATCGTTCATCATACTGACCTCTTCTACAACGTTATTTACTATCGAATCATCATTCACTTGATCTGCGCACTAAACAATAAAAATGAGTTCATAACTCGTCAGTATCATAAGTAATTAAATCCGAAACATTTAAAAATATAATTCACCTCAAATATCATTCTGCCTGGATTACCACCAACTTTTATTACTGTCGATTTTCGCGTTTCTTCTTTTTTATCATTCTCATCATCAGCATCACTAATTTCTTCATTCTCCAAACTCCTCCTAAGATCATTTAGCGCCGACATGGCTTGTTCTTCTTGTCGTTTAGCCGCCTCGGTCATAAACTTCATGGCAAATACACCTCTCACCGGCTCCCTGGTCACATCTTCCTCAAGCTGTTCGAGCTCTTCTAATGCTCTTTTCCTAACGGCTTCAACGTCTCCATCTTCGATATCACTATATTCATCTTCACTCTCCTCATCCTCCGAACCAATTCCATGGATTTTACGCGTTAGCGCCTCATGCCTCTGCAGCTGCTCAACGATTGCCTGACGGCTTTCCTGATTATTCCGCCCGTGTTTTAACGCTTGCTTAGCCCACTTGCTACTGTTTTTATGCTTCAGTGTCATTCGTTCCTCAGCACGAGCGGTTTCTAGCTTTAGTTTCCTTTGTCGCATAATATCATCATCAGGCTCAGCAAATTGTTCTACAAGAAGTTGCCTTTTCTCTCTTTCTTTCTTTCGAATTTTGCGGTATGCTTTGCTTTTTATCTTGGCTATGCGTTTGGCTTTGATTTCCGCACGGAACGCCAGCTCGCGCATGCGACGTAGTTCTTTTTGACGAGCTACCACTTCGTCAACAGACAATTTATTTAACTGAAGCTCTTCATATTTTTGAAGATTTTTTTCTTCCACACCGCTTTCGACAAGCGCTTTTTCGATTTGCTTCTCTAATGGCGTGGTTGCCTTAAACGAGCTAACTAATTGACTGGTAGATACCTGATGAAACGGTTGTGCATTCATTGGGAATTCCAGGTGTTCCTTTTTGCGATTCTCTTTCACTATGGTCTCCCATTTTGAAACAACTTTCTTAGTTTGTTCATATGCTGCTTCTCTATTCAATTTGTCCTTGACTCGCTTTGGTAATGGAGCAGCTAATGGACCTTTGATAGCTCCTTTTTTATCATTATTTTCGAACATTAATAATGATTTCTTCAATCCTGTAAAGCCCGCTTCATTTTGTATAGCCCCAACGAGATCTTGAAGATTTAACTTCTTTACGTTGGTTTGTGCGTTGCGTGTTGCAAGATTATACTCGGATTCATTATATGCCTCAGTTCGCTCTTTGGCATGTTTTTTTCTCTTATCTTCTAGATCATTATCACGCTTTCGTTTTTTAGACAGAGAATTGATTAAGCTTGCAAGTTTATCAATTTTAGTATCATCATCCTCATCTTCCTCTTCTTCATCATCCTCATCTTCACCCTCATCTTCGTCTTCGTCTTCATCTTCATCTTCGTCTTCGTCTTCATCTTCATCTTCATCTTCGTCTTCATCCTCTACTCCATCGTCATCTTCATCAACATCTACCTCATCCTCGTCATTATCATTATCGCCGTCGTAATCATCATCGCCGTCATCATCATCATCAACCTCCGCCTCTTCCCACCCCACATCGTCGTCATCGTCATTATCATTAATAGCATTGTCTCTTTCAACTTCTTCGTATTCATAATCTACATAATCTTCATCATCTTCGTCATCTTCATCGTCTTCATAATCTTGAAAAGATTTGAACACCTTGTAAATATTGTCTTCATTTTCATCTTCGGTATCCCAGTCATCACTTGTTTCTTCTTCGTCTTCCGTGTCTTTATCATCAATACCGACAAATCTAACTCGTTTTAATTCGTTGGTCCGACGGCCCTCTGTAGACGTCTGTTTAAGAACACCACGAATCTTATTGCCATTTTTAATAGACCGTTTCTGGTTCAGTTTCTGTGATTTCATAGCAGAGACATTGGGAAATTGACATCTCGAATTCTAATAAAATTTTGTATAGATCACGTGTCTCAAATGTCTGCCACAAAAATTGCCCGTGACACCAATAAGGGCAAGCCTTTCGAAATGCGCGCGTCAGACTGTCCTCACAAAAGGCTTTATAGTTAGTATTGTTTCTGGTCGTTCCAATGTTAATACTATTTTGCGTCTCTTCGACTAGCTTTTATATAACAATTTTCTTTTTTCAATGTTTATATCACAATCTCGACAAAGCATTACGCCCTCTATTCGTCGATGACAATTCCCAAGATAACATTAACGTCATTATGTGATTGCCATTTCCGAGGTTCCGATATATACGCACGTGTATCAGCAAGAAAGAAGATGAGGTCGAGACGAAGTTAATCGATTTAAGATTTATCAACTCCACCTGAGAGCTCTTGCGATCGAATAAATGGACATCTTTATTTTGTTGTTGCCCTAATAAATAGAAAACACATCAAACAAAGACACACTAATACTGGAACACAAATAATAATTTCCCATAACTATTCTACATCGAACCAAAACCACCATGGAATTTGTCAAATTATAATTATTTTCGACACTGGGCAAGCTCTGCTTTGAATTCATCAATCTTTTTGCGGCTTTTTTTTTTATTTAATTAGTTAATTAATAATTGTTAGATGATATACTGGATTGATACTTCTGTCGTGATTGTTCAAAGAGTAGTTCTTGCTGCCGTAAAAGCTCCTCCTCGGTCATTCCGGAGTTCTCTAGGCGAGAGCTTTTTCTTTCGCGGTCCTATTGAAGACAAAAATTTACAATTTAAAGGATTGTGTGTTGGGGAAAACTTGATTTCGGTATAATGAATACCTTCTGCATCTTCTTGTGTTCTTTGTAAACGTCCTGAACTTCTTCCAGATAGCTCTCGAACCCTAATGTCTGGTCAATTCAGGTAATGAAAGAATCAGGTCACGGATCTTTCACGAATACGCTTCAATAATGTCATAATATTACGGACTCACCCTCAAAGCGGAGAGTACATGTTCGGCAGCTATGGTCTTTTTTGTTTCCTTCTCACATATTTCGTTTGCTTCAGATGCAATCAAGTGAATAAATTCTAAAACAATAACAAAAGAGTCAGAGAATGCCTGGTGATGTTAATCCAGAGGTTTAACGTCTTCAACAAGCAAACCTTTCATAATGCCTCTCCGAATACATACCAACACAGCAGTCGATTAGCAAGTCGCGAGTATCCCTTGCACATCCAATGTCGGATGGTAACATTTCGGCAATGAGTTTCTGCACAGTTGCTATGTTATAAGTTTATCAAGTCAGTTCGGAATTTTGGCTTCCAAAGTGGTTGATCACAATGAATGACTTTTTTACTAGCGTGTCTTATGGTCATTCTTGTTGAGACTCGTCAAATCCCACAACACCAACTTACCCTTGGGAAGTGACAAATCGTCATCGACTCCCCCAGTAGCAGCAGTTTCGTGATCGCTCATACTGACTAGGCTTGTTATGAATATAGGCCATTGTTGTCGAGGAATAAGAGGTAGTTCTTTTATATTGTATGTCAGACTGTGCCACAAGGAAATTTCACTCGAACTTCCATCCGATACTATTGGTCACAGTTGAAAGGCTATTGTACAACAGGGGTGTCACAGATTCCATTGGATGACGAAACGTCTTCCTTCTCCAAGCTTGTTTACAACTTGAGATTAATCTCATCATCTTGCAGCAGCGGATCAGCGTTTGCAGCTTGCAGCAAAAAGATTATATTATGTATAATTGATTAGTAACACCGAAGATGTTGTTTCTGATGTCTTTACCGAATATTGCTTCTTTTTGATGCTGGAAAGGGTTCTTGTGATATGTTTTTATTGTCTCATTGAAATTGGTTGGTTTTTTCTTTCAGAAACAAAGAGGGAACTTTGTTAGCAAAGAAAGATTCTCAGTCGAAAGGTTAATCAGGAATGCGTACATAAGACTTGTCTATCAAACCAGTTTTTAACAACAGGATATGTATATTATGTTCGTTTTGATTAGTAACTGTGTAGTTATCCATCAATCCTGCCAAACCTATGGCTCATGTTTCATTGCAGGATTAGTGGCGCTTTAATTAATGCCTTCTGTGGGATTTTTTATCAGTTAATACAAATCTTATTTCCTAAATCCAAACTATGGTGATAGACTTTGCATATTAAATTTGCCCTATTAGGAAGGCGAAAGAAAAAGGAAATATTTTTGCTTGTGAATAAATAAACGTTTCGAGAAAAGGTTACCATCAAGTTTCTTATAGTCAGATAAAACAGTCATTAGATTATGCAAACAGATTATCGATATAATTATAACGTTATGATAAAGAGAACAGAATGGATGATTAAAAAAGCGGGCTAGTATTGCCTACGCGGAAGCGCAGCGTTCTTTTGTTTCTAATAATTTCCTCGTACTAGGCTCCGGCGAGACTATTGAAATTCTACAATGTTTAAGCCGTAGCTGTCAGTATTACAGTGAACAAACACGAGAGCGAGAAACAGTGCGGAAAGTTGGTCGGAAGAAATTACATAGCCGAAAGCCGTTGTATAATGCCCTTCCCTCTATAACAATACAAACGTCTAACAACATGCGCAAGAGATTTAAGAGTTAACCGAAAAACTTACTGTTGCATTTTCAGCGTATGAATAATGCTGAAATCAGAGTTATTAACAAAGGAATGAAAAGCTAATCATGTTTACCGTATTGCAAGCATTATATATGCTTTCTCAGTATGACTTGTAGAAGATAATTCAGACATAATAACATTGTTTGCTTCTAAGAAACATGCAATATGAAATATATGGTATATTTCAACAATAATTAAGATGCATGAGATATTTCTATTGCCAACGAAATACAATTGACTAATAAAAAAAATTATTTTTACCCTTTCACATTTCTGATTGATTTATCCTGGGAGTCGGAGGCATGCAATTGAATCTGATATGGATGCCCTTTACCCGCGGGTAAAGTTTATTTGCATCATAAAATGAAACTTGGCAGATTAGGTATTTTTCTGCATACATTCAGGTGTTGTTCGCTTCACCAACAGTTACTGTATTCCGCATTAAACAAATAATTATCTGAACTAATTAAACTACTGTTCTATAACAATATTTCTGCAAACTCATAACATACTCTCCATTGCTGTTTCATGTACAGGGTTGTCTGGTTTGCAAATGAGTACAGTGACGTTTTAAAAGTTTCACTGACGTTTCTAATTCGTCATTGTTTTGCTCATGAAGACTCTTTAACCATTCCCGATACTGAAAAGGGAATACAAATTTCACCACCAGCATTGAATTGACGCTCACATGGGCAATAATATTATTATATGTGATGTATGCTTTTCTTGTTCAATAGAGAAACCTCGTCTTGTGCAAAGAGTCCATTAGCGCATCAAACTTTGACGAAATACATTCATTGTCGAGATTTTCTCCACTGTGACAAACTAACAAATACGGTATGTCATGAGTGACATGATTTGTTCCACAGATTCTTATAATAATAACGATAATGGGCTATAAGCATAAATGATATTAATATTTCTATTTGTGACACATTGGTTAAACCCGAAATGTACTTCAAAAAGCCTCTGTTTGTAACACGGCAATCGACACGTTTACTATCACATAAAATCATCTTATGTACATTCTTTCACAAAAAAACAATACTCCACTGATTTTTGTCACTGATAACCATAAACACCAACTGTATAAATGCAAAACATGTTCCATGATCAAATATTAACATTGTAATAAAAAGTAACTTATTATACGTCCCACCTGATTTTACTGGGTTTACCCGGTTGTAGAAAGTTATTCAAATAACGTAGCATTGCCCAACAGCCTAATTCATGACAAAATATGTTGTTTAATAGTAGAGTAATAATTTAAACGCAGTTCCTGCTGATAGATAACTTAAACCGTTATCGGACGTGCTAGATTACTTCATCTCTTATTATCAAACGGACAAGGTATATATTTGATATAGCGTTAAGAAATAATTGGTTTCCCAAAATGTATAATACAAAGCACCTCGTTTTATATTGATTAATAGAACGCGTCCATTTTTACTTAGACTTGAAAATCTCGTTTAAACTCTTATTAACAACATCCTTGTATTAACCGATCTAAATTCCCAACGCCAATTACCTGTACTTTTAGAAACATCTCCAATAATTAAAAAAGAAGGCAGGTCTGCCGCAAGTACAGCGCTAGCTACAACTTGTTCAGAGATGAAGTTAAAGTGTCTTGTATATCAGTTGGATCGCGACTAGAATTATAAAGTACCTGCCAAAGTTGCAGCCGAGAGTACTCGCACAAAGACAGCCGTGATTATGACAGCCAAAATTAATATTTGTTGATCAAAGCTGCTGTTGCTGTTGCTGATGTTGCTGATGTCGTTGTTGTTGTTGTTGTTGTTGTTGTTGTTGTTGTTGTTGTTGTTTTTGCTGTTGTTGTCGCTGCTGCTGCTGCTGTTGTTGCTGCTGCTGCTGCTGTTGCAATTGTTGTTGAAGTAAAGGCTGAGCATCATCAAGCGCACTAGGTGCAACATACAATCTTTTATCAATAACTGGTGGAATGGGCTGAATCTCAGTTCCGAGTTCCTGCTCAATTTTGTAGAGATTGAAACGGTCTTCATAAGTTACCAAATTAATTGCTAGACCGAGATGACCATAGCGGCCGGATCGACCGATCCGGTGAAGATACGTTTCTGCGTTTTTAGGGAAATCAAAATTGATTACGACATTTACTGCTTGGATATCGATACCACGTGTTAAGAGATCTGTTATGGTGGCCAAACGGATACGGTATTAGTTAATTTAAACTAGACTTCTCCAACCATAGAATAACTCGACGTAAACGCTCCTCACCTGAACATACTAAGTTCCGACATACACCATTTCTAAAATCATGGAAAACTCGATTGCGGTGACTTTGTAACATTTTGGCGTGACTGTAAAAGCAAGAGTATCCGAGTTCCGTTATTTTCTTAGCAAGAAGTTCGACACGGTTTGTTGAATTGCAGAAAATGATTGATTGGTTAATTTGCAACTAAATATGCAGATGGATAATACGAGTTAGAGCTGCTATCGGGGCGGGTTAAAATATCCCAGTGATATCCAAATTATGAACAAACCTTGGAAAAAAGCGTATTCAAACAGTGAACTTTCTGTCGCTCCATAACAAAGGCATAATATTGTGTGACACCACGAAGAGTGAGCTCGTCCATTAAGTTAATTTCGTATGGCTTTACAAGATATTTTTCCTAGTACATATAAAATGGTTTACGATGTGGTTATAGAATTACATCATCTTGTGATAAAAGATAGAACAAAAAACTTGTTTTTATAAAGCCAACTACTCCTGCTATCACAAGTACTCTCGTCATAGGCTCACTCCCATAACTCACCTTGAAATTCTTCACAATCAAGGGGAAAGTAGCGCTGTACAACATTATCTGTCTGTCTTCCGGGAAATACGTCAATAACTGCTCGACAATTGGCGAGAACTCTGGACTTAACAATTTATCGGCTTCATCCATAACGAATGTCGGACATTCACTAAAATCTGCCACGCCCTTTCCAGCAAGATCCAGAATACGACCAGGCGTACCGACGAGTACATGTACGGTCTCTGATAAACGGAGAATATCGTCTTTTAATGTTGTGCCTCCTGTTGTCACCATTACTTGCACCCCCATATGTTTTCCGAGAGTTTTACACACTTGCGATGTTTGTAGTGCAAGTTCTCTTGTCGGTACGAGAAGGAGCGCCTGGATTTTGTTCTTTTTAACATATATCTTTTCTAATGCCGGAATTACAAAGGCAGCCGTCTTGCCGGTTCCATTCTTAGCCCGTGCAAGAATGTCACGGCCGGTTAGTGCGATTGGTATGGATTCTTCTTGGATTGGTGATGGGCGCTCGAAGCCTGCTTCAAATATGCCCATGAGCAGCTCGCGTTTGAGAAAATAGTCTTCGAATTCGTTTCCTTTTGTGGCGGTAACATCCTGTACAATAAATGTACGCGAGCGTATGACAATGCGATATTGATGTTAATAAAACTATTGCACATGTATAACCGTGATTGTAGGGTCGTCGTGTTTCTTAAAGTTACCTCTGTTTGCGGTCGATAATCTTTTGGTGGGAGCCGTAGATTCTTCTTCCAATTATCGTTTTCATGACTGTTCATTAATGAATTGATAATGCTTAGTCTTGTATGATGAGCAACGCTTATGCTTGTTACTGTCTTGTAGGCGGGCGCATATGTAGCAGTAGTTTCCCTTCACTATTCTATTTCACAAATAAGTGAAGTAATAAATTTGACACAGCTCATTTGAATATTTTTGATAGCAGAGACTCTATTGTCACTCGAATCTAAACGGCGTAGTCTCTCCAACTACTGTATTAGCGTTTTGCTCACTTGGTCGTCGGGTTTTTTTTCAATGATACTTCACATGCCCCGAGAATTACGTACTTCAAGTAGAGACACTTACGTGAGATGTTGACTTGACGTGGCCATTTTCAAGAGTATTTGGTATTTGGTAGACGGGGTTGCTGTTTGCTGTTCTGATGAGGAGTATTTTTCTTGACTCTAGTATTGCTATTGTCTGTGGATTACGAAATAAGTCTTTTTTTTCGCAGAGTTATTGGAGAAAAAAAAAATAAACTAGGGGAACCTTTTGATATAATACAGATCATTATATACCAACACAGTGGTGGCAAATTGGAAATTAGCCCTTTAGGTTTGGTGGCTGGGGGCGTAATAATGCAAAACTTCCGAATAGTTACACAATCCAAATGAATAAGTACGACAAAACTGCAAACAGAAATTAACGTCATGTGGCTTGGTAATCAATCATGAGGCTTTGCACAATAACGCGTTCACAAGTTGTTGACGCATTGCTTATACTTGCATTTTCGTTCTTATTTGTGTAATGTTCCGATAAGTGAAATAAAACAAGCCGACAATCATTTCACCGACAAATGTTCACCAACATTATTTCAAAATTATCCTTTTTAGGTAACTAATTTTCGGCGAAATAAACAGTCGGTGAAATGATACGGACCCTCTAAGCACTGCTAGTTATATATAAATTGCGTTTTGGAGGTTATCGACGTAAATTATTATATATATAAACCCGGTATTTATATGAAAACACAAACTATACACAACATATTCATAAGTTTATTAAATGTTGCAGTATTTCCGATGACTGTTTTGAGTATAAATACAGTTTTGTTAGTTCCAAAGCTTCAGTGTCATCTAATTCTTGCAATGTACCTTAAAAAGGAGAAATAATTATTGCACAACCAATAATAATATTTTTCTTTATTCGCTTCTTTCTTGGTTTATTACAAATCACTGTTAGTACTGGTTATTGCCTTGTACTTTTCATTCTTCTTGAAGACTTTATATTAATATGGTCGCACTCACTTTGAAAACGTCGGAAACCACCTAGCGACGAATGGAATAATAACACGTATCCATGGTAAGGTAAAAAGGTACCGCGATGGAAAACCAAAATAACCATTGATAACAGTTGCTATCGCCAAGTTTCTGGTGGAACTGTCAATCGCATTACTCACGCGCTTACAATACGAGTTATAAATCGGTCTATCGTAATTTTATTGCAGATCTCGAAAACGATAGCGCGTTGAATACGATGCATTATCGCAAGTTATGGCACCAATTATGAGTCCAAGAACAAATTTATGTGATGCTTGTCAACGTTCGGGATGGCATACAGTATAATGCTCGTAAGGAGAAAAAGCAAAAAATTTATTAAAAAAATACATAACATCTGTTAAGGCTAAATTCGAGAGAAATTATTATAACAAAATACGAAATTAACAGAACAGAGAGACGAGCATTTTATAACGTTAATTATTGCAGCATTGACGCTATCGCACATTACAGTTACAATTGAGCACAAAACGTTCACGTACTCCATTCCGATCAACAGTAAGTAGAAGTTAATATCTCAGTCCGCGTAAAGTACACTTATTTGGTATTCAAGATGAAGCAGAACGCGAACAAATAATTATGTTCTCGATGAAAATAAAATAATTGGCACAGATCTTAATGGTACCCTAAGCCTGGTATTCGAATTCACATCAAAACGAAATTACATCAGATTGTTTTTATTACTACAGTCAACTCTCTCTATAGCGACCTTGCATATACCGGTTTCGCCTTTATACCGGTCCAATTTCGCAGAACCAAAAAATTCCATATTAATCCCCTTTATAACGGCAGATCTTAATAACTCTGTTTATACCAGCTCCGGCACAAATTACACGAAATTATGTAGACCAGTTTTACTTTAAATTATATAAAAAGTTTTACTTTATACCGGCGAAGTCAAGTGATTATTTGTATATATTACTAACAAATGCAGCCATAACTCAGCCCAACCTCTTAATTATTATCATGCCACGCAAGAGAACGTCTGCCAAAAATTTTAGTACTGACATAGAGATACCTAAACGCATTAGAACTTCATTAACAGGATTGCAGAAAAAAGAAATTTGTCAAATTAAACTAAAAAAGCCTTCTTTTACTAATGCGGAAATCGCTGAATTGTTTGGGTTGCGGTACTAGTACCGTTGGTGATGTTATCCGTGAAAGCAAAAAGTGGTTTGCAATAAATGAGGATAATTATGTTGCTCAGCTTCGCAAAATCGACAACCAAAATGGCCTGCACTTGAACAAGCGATGACTATTTGGCTTGAAAGCTTCTTTTAGCAAATCAAGATATCGATGGCTCTGCGATTCTCAACAAAGCTAATCAATTTGCTCAAAATTTGAATATTGTTGACTTTAAAGGATCTGAAGGGTGGCTATCGGGTTTGAAGGAGCGAGTAGGTATATCTCAAAGAACAAAACACGGTGAAATTCTCAGTGCACCTTCCCAGGAAGAAATTGAATGCGAACGATTGAAATTACATGACTTATTAAGAATTGGAATCCTGAAGATATTTTTAATTGTGACGAAACAGCTCTCTATTGGGATCAAGAACCAATTCGGGTTTTAGCTAAGAATCAAGTAAAAAATCAAAAAATCGTATTACTGTTCTGCTCACTGTAAATTCAACTGGAACGGAAAAATTATTACCACTTCTAATTAATAAATCTAAATCACCTCGTGTACTGAAGCAAGTCAGCTATAAACTTCTCCCGGTTGACTATTATTGGAATAAAACGGCGTGGATGCAGGTACGTCGTGAAATAAGTTTTACTGTTCGGACTAAATTGTAATAACATTATTATGATAAATAGGGATCGATCTTCACGCATTGGTTGCAGAAAAGATGCGTGCACATGATAGGCGAATAATAATGTTACTGATAACCCGCATGTCACAAGAGACCCAGTCAACTCACCAATATCACCCTCCATTTCTTACCTGCGCGAACAACTGCCATATTGCAACCCTGTGATGCCGGAGTAATTTGGTCATTTAAGTCACAATATAAAAAATGTTCATACAGAGTCGTATAGATGCATACGATAAATCAATAACTGATGATACTAATATCAATAAGTTTACTATCAAGGATGCTATTTACATGATATCAGAAGCATGGAATGGGGTTAGTCAAAGAACTGTTGTTAATTGCTGGCGCAAGACAGGTATTTTACCAAGCATTGAGGAAGTGAACCAATTAGAACGAGAGCAGAACGGAGAAGCTCTTTATTGCAGAACTTAATAGATCGCCTACCATATGGTGAGAAATTGACAGCCGAAGGTGTGTTTAAAGAGGCCTCATTATATGAATTATTGAAAAATATTATATAACGTTTATTAGAATTTATTGAGATCGACAAGAATATCCAAATTGAAGACTTGGTAAACGATCAAGAGATAATCGATTTGGTTCTTCAGGAGAATAGTGAATCATCAGACAGCTCTAACACTAATGAGGAAGTAGAGATACGGAAGAGCATTTCATACATCTGCCGTTCAGACAACACTAA